GGTTGTAGCATTCTTGTAGCACAGAGATTAATGCCAGACCAGAGAGGAAGGTTAGCAAAAGTGACGTCATCACTTTTTGCATTCGATTACATCACGACGCCTTTGACAGATAACAAGTGGTAAAAAGGCTCACAGCATGCCCTGTGAAAATTGCAACACGGCTCGTTTTTTGTTTTCTGAAATAAAAGCGTCGTACTCTAAATCCTGCCAAATTTCAGTGTGAGAACCGAATTTAGAAGAGGAAAAACTATAAAAGGTCGCTCTTAACTCAGCGGTTTTCTGTGCTCCAGCTTCCCCATAAAAATAATTTGTAAAAGGTCATTCTTATTTTTCAATGTTTTTAGGTATAGCGAGGTAATCGCAAATGAAAATTTCGTCCTAGCTCCGTCTCCTGTTGCTCAGCGGGCGCAAAAGAGAAAGTGAAGATGGTGAAAAAACTAGCGAAAGTGACATCATCATTGGTGTTGACCCTTGCTCTGTTTTCAACCGTACCATCTTGTAATGAGCGGCCAATGAAACTTAATTCAGCGAGGGCCGGCTATAGCCGGCTACGAAATGCCAACGATGACGGAACGACGCCTATGACAAATAAGAGGGGCATCACCCCGCGCGCTCTGCGGCAATTGCTTCGCGTAATTTTTCGAGATAAAAAATGGTTTACGTTATATCCTGTCCAATTTTGGTGCAATACCCAAATTCGCGCGCAAAAAAAAATGTTAGGATGCCGCTCCAACCCAGCCTATTGTTTTAAGTGTTTTTGCTTGTCCTTAAAGGGCCTCTGACACGCCAAAAAAAAAAACTTTTTTTTTCACGCTAGGCGTTGAAATGGCATGTCAAGACATTACAAAACAATTGTTTCATTAAAGAGTTGCGTAGTTTTTTTTATAAAAATAGAAATAGGAGGCCGAATTCAAAGTTACCGCCAGTGCACTGTGACGTAACAATGTACCACAAGGTGTCGGGGCGGTCAGAAGGGAGGCATCGACCTACGTCACCAAAAGTGGGTTTGCAGGAAGTCACGTGAGTTTCACTCCTCGTGCTCTCCGCAACCGTGCCTAAGACTTTTTTCCTGCTCTTTGTACGAGCGATTGTAGAAAATGAAGTTTCAGTTCCACTAGCTATTTATCGCTGCACCGTTGATTAGTTTGCGTGCTGTAAAAGTTAAAGACGAAGAGTCAGTAAGGTCAGTGATGAAGGCGTTGCGAGTACAATCCAGTGTACGAGTGCATGCGATCAGTCCGATGATACAGAGCTATGCTGGGTGCAAAAAAAGCTATCAAGTCTTGAAAAAAAAAATTTAGAACGCTCGCAGAAATTAGGATTGCTTGCGTACGACACGCGCAATTGCATTGCTGAAGGTTCGGATAGCGTTGTCGTCGAATCATTGTGTACTCTCCAGGCTTAAGATGTCTGCCGTCCCTCGGAAATGCATGCAGTGTGATCTCTTCTTCAGTTGCTAAAATACCGGGATAGTCCCTCACACAGCACCTTCTAGGCATTGTAGTTGATCACGTCAATGCACTGACTCCTCTTCTTCTACTTTTACAGCAACATTAAGCGATGAAAAGCAAATAAAGGAAACCTTGTCTGCTAGGATCGCTCGTGGAGGTGCGGAGAACAACAGAAATATTAAAAAAAATATTACACGCGCTCGCGGTAAGCACGAGGAGGGATACAACTCACGTGACTTCCGGCGATTCCACCCTTCTGACCGCCCCGACACCTTGCGGGACACTGTTACGTCACAGTGCACTGGCGGGAACTTTGAATTGGGCCTCGTATTTGTATTTTTATAAAAAAAAAACTACGCACCTTTGTAGTGAAACAATTTTTTTCTAATGCCATTTCAACGCCTAGCATGAAAAAAAAATATTTTTTTTTGCGTGTCAGAGGCCTTTTAAACAACCATGCAGTGACTACTTATATGTTTGTCATACTATAGGGCTGTGTACGAAGTACATAACCTTGCACGAAAAGAAAATAATTGTGATTATAACCTTATGGTACAGTTAACTAGTTTTTAATCTGAACTGGCGAGCGAAGAGATTCTATCCTATTTTTGTTATGTAAGCTTCTTGTTTCTTAGAGCGCAGCTCTTAGGGGCCCGTTTCCGGCTTAAGCGGCGTCGGTGTCGCCGTCGCCGTCCCTGTCGGTATAACCCTAAGGTCACATGACCCCCCCCCCCCCCCCCCCGAGGTCACGCGACCCCGCCAAGGTCACGTAACCCCCCCCCCCCTCTTCCGAGGTCACGTGACTCCCCAAGGTTACGTGACTTCAAGTTCAAGTGACCCCCCAAGGTCACGCGACCCCCCCTCAAGGTCACGTGACCCCACTCTCTCCTCCTTCTCAAGAGCTGCGCTCTAATTCGGTGTTACAGGGAGTTGTAAACGGCTTTCATTTTTTTCCGAACCGCAATCAATATAATTTGAGTTTAAATTGACTTGACCTCCACCGGAACAGTTCCGTTACCGTTGGCTGCCGAACTTTTGTCAACGCAGGACGCTTGAACCGTCACATGACCACAAGCAAGTCCAATAAGGCCATTCGAGACACGTACTAACTGCAATATATATATTTTTTTCCGTTTGATTTTATGTTTGGCTGTAAATGCAAGCGATATATGTTGTCCTTATACGAAGTGAATATACAAAAAACAATATATAAATCTAAAAAATGCAATATTATAAAGTAGGGCTGGGCAATTAATCGATTAACCTTCCGATTAATCGATTAAGACTTTAATCGCAATCAAATGTTTTAACCAGTTAAACGGTTTTTTAATCAATACATAAAAAGAAGTCAACTGGACGCACGCATGGCTCTATCCTGGACGACCTGCTCGAACTAGGGGTGACTCATGCCCCTCTTTTCTTAAAGAAAACGCTGCGTGGCGTGTATCCGGTCGTTCTGTCCCCAGCGGTTTTCCGTTCCCAGCCAGGCGCTATGAGCAAGGTTCAATTCTCGCGCTCGCGAAGCGTCACGTGTTCGAGGATATACATTACAGTTCTGCCGAAGCCAGACTAACAAGCCCGGCCTACAACTGATCCCCGCGCGACCGCGAAACTTCACGTCTTGAGGATCTATTACAGTAAAACATATAAAATAGCGCAACAGGAACAAGGACAAGAAGTAAACAGGACAGGCGCTATTTTATATGTTTTACTAAGATGAACCAACTAGCCCAACAACGTACCTCACTGATCTATTACACATCCTGCGCAGGCAAGACAAACAAGCAGAAAAACAAGCTCGGAAGCTAACAACGCCATGGTTACTTATTGCAGTATTCGGCCCGCCCGTAAAAATGGACGAGTTCACGAGTATGAAAGGCAATCTCGCTGGAAAGTTTGGGTTAAAAGTAAACTCCAGCGGTGAAGTTCTTAACTCGAAGGAAGTCCACTGCATCAACTGCGAAAAGCAGTTTTCATATACAGTGGAGGCTTAAGTTCGCTTCAGTATCACCTACGAGCGAAGCACCAATGTACGCCGCTGCAGCAAGGACCATTCGCCAAAACGCAGACAGCAATCAACGCCTTCTCATCGAGGCCCCTTTTTCTGAAAAAAGAAGAAAGCATCACCTAAGCTCTGACTTCTTGTCTTCCTGTCGAAGAATCTGGACAAACTTCTTTCTCTACGGAGCTGGAGCAAAAATATTTGAGTCTTTGAATTGTTGAACTATATCCTCAATTTGAATGTCCTTTGCGCCGTGTACAGAGAGTAAAATAGGTCTTCAAAGGCAAGCCGAGTTGTTGCACTCTTTTTAAATTATTATTTATAAAAATCAGCGCAACCGATTAATCGATCAATTAATCGATTAAGGTGTGGCGATTAATCGGGTTAAAATTTTTAATCGACGCCCAGCCCTATTGTAAAGTATTTTATGTTTGATGTGTTCTTGTGTTCTTATCAACGTATATTTTGTAATATTGCCGCGCGCGCAGCTGGCTAAGTATACAGCGTGCCCGTGGCAGAACGGTTGTCGTGCTTGGCTCCCATACCACGAGCAGAGGTAAATACCATATACCTTCGCCAATAACTCCTCCGAAAACCCATTGGAGCGGCGGCGAACGGGACAGTGGCGACTCAGCGGAGGCAGACGACGCAATGGAAAAGTATAAGCTCCGCGACGTCCTCGAGCTTTGCGCGCCCCGTTTCGTCACCCCAACAGCTGAAATAATTTATTACGGCCAGTCTGCTTGAAAAGTGGAATTGACTGATCCCAACTGCAAGGACATTCAAATAAGAAGGCGCGCAAAAACAAAACTATAGCAGTTTATTTAGCGCTCTCAAAGGCCACTCAGGGGATCACACGGGTTTGAAGCGTATCTGGGAAGCAGAAACAGCGCGTTTAGCTACTCGAACTACGTCGTAAGAGGTTACTGTTTATCCGTTACAAACTGCGTTGTCACAAGAATAAGTGATAATTAAAACGTGTGCAAACAACATGTCAAGATTACCAGAGCAAGCGTACCAGCCGCTGCAGCATAACAAAAACAAAATGCAACGAGAAAAATGATCGTGAAAACATTTTTCGAACTTTGCTGGAAAGATACGGTCCTCATCGCAGACGAAAATAAAAAGAAATGGAGAACAGTCCCAAAAAACGGCGAATAAAATAAAGTTAGCACACGATACAAAGATACAAATCACCCAGCGAAGAAACTTTTTTAACGAGTGGGCTTGGCGGCAGCACGACCGGCAGCATGCTCAGCAACCCATTCTGTTTCCTGGTACAGGTCGTATCAGTTCTACTCGGACACCAAACGGCATCGTATGGCTGCTTTCAAGCGACAAGTCCCGATAGGAACGACGGGCTTGGCTCCGAATCTTCTGCTCTGGGCGATCGCTGCGTCATCGTCGAGCCTTTCGTGCCCCTCATCAGCGAGTCTTCGTTTGTGTCGACATCGGTGACGTCCCATCACGTGGTTCGCCTGAAAGCTACAAGAGCGCCAGCGACACCGGACTCTCTCAGTGGGCTTGGCGGCAGCACGACCGGCAGCATGCTCAGCAACCCATTTTGTTTCCTGGTACAGGTTAGTGAATATTTACCTTGTGGCGGTTATCGAAGTGATAACCGTTTTTTGGTGCTGCTGCCTTGCCAACCTACTGTAAAACGCTTGATAAATTTTGCTACTTCTGTTATTTCTTGGCCGCGAAATTTGTTGGTCTGTGGTGATGTGGAGGCAAATCCAGGGCCCACCGACAGAGAGCTTTTGTTGGAACTTCTTGCCGGCCAGAGCAAGATGAATGATACTGTTCTAAATGTTCTTTCCTCTCAAAATGAAATTAACAAAAAAATGACTGCGTTAACTGAACGAATTGATGGACTGGAGCGGCAGATAACCGGTTTAAACGCGGTGACCAAGCAAATAAAGGACATAGAAGCCGCAGTATCAGGATTTGACGCACAATTATCTTCACTCCATGCTAAAGTAGATGATTTAGAAAACAGAAGCCGCAGAAATAATTTGATAATTTATGGTATAGACGAGTCTAATACTGAGACAGTTGAAGAGCTTGAAGAGAAGGTAAAAAACGAGGTTTTTCTACAAAAACTAGGAATAACAATCACCGGAATTGAGAGATGCCATAGGCTTGGCCGAAAAGTTGAAAACAAGCCCCATCCAACTATCCTCAAGTTCATCGATTACCGGGAAAAATTAGCAATATTAAGGTCATCTTATAAATTAAAAGGCACTAAGGTATCAATATCTGAGGATTTCTCAATCAGAGTTCGCGAAATTCGAAAGCATTTATGGAAAAGTGCGGCTAACGAGAAAGAAAACGGAGCAAAAGTTAAACTAGTTTATGATAAGCTGAATGTGGACGGTGTGCTGTTTGGATGGGATGAAGGGAAGGGTTCACGCTTCAAGATAAGCAAAACAGATAAATGACGGTGTAGAAGTGCTTCTCGGTCATTGCGCTTGTTGAATGTCAATTGTAGAAGCGTCCTTAACAAGGCCACAGAGTTGGAAGGAATTTTGCTCTGTCATGATCCTGATATCGCCGTTCTCACTGAGACTTGGTTAAATGCTACGATATATGACAGTGAATTTGTCCCTGCTGGCTACAGCGCACTCAGGAAAGACCGTGGTAGTAAGGGTGGTGGTGTGTGTATTCTTTTTAAGAACTTCCTAAATATAGTGAGCATGCCTGAAATACCTGATACCGAGTGTATTTTTTGCAAAGCGTACGATGGTAAATGTAAATACATTATTGGGGCATTTTATAGACCCCCTGCATCTTCTACGGCTGTTCTTGATAATTTAGAAATGTATCTCGATACACATGTGAAGCCTGGTGATCGAGTTATTTTGGTAGGAGATTTTAATTTGCCAAACGTTGACTGGTCAAATTTTTCACTGAAACATCAAAATGATAACTTAGGCGAAGCAATGTTAGACATGGCCTTTAAATATGACTTACTGCAGGTCGTTGAGGATTTCACGAGAATCCAAGGAAACTCTGCATCTATACTTGACCTTGTTTTTGTAAGCGGTACAATTTCGTCTAAATCTAGATGTGAAGTAATCCCTGGTATTTCTGATCACAAAGCAGTATTGTTAACCTTAGATGTTTCTGTAAATAGAAAAACCAAGTCGAAGTGTTATCCAAATTTTTCTCGTGCAGATGATGTCTCTATTATAGACATGCTTTCATTTAATTTAGACGATTTTGTAAACAATACTGGTGATGTAAATGATTTTTGGAATTTGTTTAAAGTTATTGTAAGCGACTGTATTGACCGTTTTGTGCCAGTAATTGTAAAGAAGCAGAACAAAAAGAACCCCTGGATTTCTAGAAAGGCCTTACAGTTAAAAAGACAATTGAAACGATTGAAAAAGAAAATGAAAACAAGCGCCGACTCGTGTGAACTGTCTGAAAAATTTCTTGATCTTTCTTTGGAACTTAAAACCCAAGTTACAGTTGATAAAAGTCGGTATTTCGGCGAATCTTTGCCAAACTTCATATCTACTTCACCGGAAAAAATTTGGCGATTAATATCTCCACATTCTAGAGATTGTGATGTTTTCGAAATTGGTGGTAGCTTAACCCATGACGAAAAAATAATTTCAAACGCATTTAATAAACATTTTAAATCGGTGTTTACTCAAGACGATGATGTGTTACCAAATTTTGACGCTGACTATCCACCTATGCCTGATATTGTAATTAGTGAATGTGGTATATTGAATATGCTTTTGAAATTGGATGTAAAAAAATCCCCTGGGCCTGATGGTATCCCCAATGAATTTTTATCCAGGTATGCTGAATGGGTCTCAAAATATTTGTTTGTTTTGTTTTCACGATCGCTGTCCGAAGATCAGGTTCCAGACGACTGGAGAACTGCCAGAGTCAAACCACTTCATAAGAACGGAAACAAGCGCTGCATTCAAAATTACCGTCCAATTTCATTGACTTCAACTACTTGTAAACTTCTTGAACATATAATATATAATCATTTATCAAAATTCCTAGACGAACACAACATCTTGACTAAAAATCAGCATGGATTTCGAAAAGGTTTTTCAACATGTACTCAATTAATTGAAACTGTTCACGATTTCTCGTGGGCAATAAACAATAGAAAACAAATTGATGCTATTTTTATGGATTTTTCGAAGGCATTCGATAAGGTCTCGCACAAAAAGTTACTATACAAATTGGAAAAAATATTTCAGAACACACAGTTAGTTAGATGGATTTCAGCATACCTTTCAAATCGTCGACAATTTGTAGTTTATGGTGAATATTGCTCTGAACAACTTTCGGTTGACTGGCGTTCCCCAGGGCTCTGTGCTCGGACCTCTCCTTTTCTTGTTGTTTATTAATGATATAGTAGAAGATGTTCCGGTAAAAATCAGGTTATACGCTGATGATTGTATAATTTACTCAGAAATAGCTAGTACTTCTGATCAGCTTTTGTTGAATAGAGCTTTTCAAAAAATCACGGAATGGTGTACGCAGTGGCAAATGACTGTTAACTTTGAAAAAACTGTTTATGAGAATTACACATAAAAGAAATCCTTTAAAATTTGTTTGCAATACTAGTAATATTCTTCTATCAGAAGTTACACAATATAAATACCTTGGATTATGGATCACTCATAATCTTACTTGGACAAAACAGCTTGACTACGTAACTTCAAATGCTCTTCGAAAGTTATTCTTTCTTAGAAGGACTCTAAGACTTTCTACCCCTTCCTTGTGTCTTTTAAAATATAAAGCCATAGTCTTGCCAGCATTAGATTACGCGGCTATCATTTGGGATCCCTTCACCAAACTAAACATTAACAAGCTGGGTCGTGTGCAGAAAAAGGCAGTTCGCTACATTTACAATAGCTTTGGACGAACCTCTATAACCGAACTTTTAACCAGAGCTAACTTAAAGTCATTATCTCTCAGAAATCAGCCTTCTCGACTAAAATTTTTGTATCAATTAATAAATGGACATTATAGGATAGATCTGTCTCACTTAATAAACTTCTCATCAGGCTACGCTACTCGTCAGAGGCATGCGCTAACAATAACTCCTTTTCAATCGCACAATAATTGCTTCAAGTACTCTTTTTTTCCGCGAACGGTAACTAATTGGAATAGCCTTTCTGAAAGTGTCGTTATGCAGCCATCATTATCTTTATTTGAATCCCTTCTAAATTAGTTTTGTCCCTCTGAAAAATATTTGTTTGTTTGTTTCTGCGACTTGTTTGCTATTTTGTATGCCTGCATGTCTTGTCAATCAAGTGTATACCCACCTGATAAAATCCCTTTCAGGGGTTGCAGTATCAATAAATAAATAAAAATAAAATAAATAAAAATGACGATCGTTGCGCAAGTGGTCCTAGCCGTCGGTGTTGAGATCACAACAAACAAAGCGGAAGCAACACGACGAAACTAATCAAAAAAAGAAAAGAGTTCCCTTTTTTTCAGCTGCTTGTTACACGTTTGTTTATTTGCTGCGCAGTGTTGGTAGGACCTAAGAACAAAAGAGGGGAAAGGAATCACATAGTACAGCTCACACCGCCCGGTAAATAAGAGTCGCACGTTGCAATCTGGTACGTGCAAGCAGTGCGTGACATGTTTTGCTTTCGCATTTCTTTTCCCAGAGACCCTGGCAGGTTTATGGTTTACTGGCTTGACGAAGCAGTTCAAAAGTACATTCAAGTACTTGTGTACGTACGTGTTTACGCAAGCTTTGCACACCGTGCTTTTGTTTCAAGTGTCAATCAGCGGCCTCAAGTCTGCCTTCAGTTGAATTCATCTCGGTGCAATATATCAATGAAATGAGTGTCAAAGGCAGGGTTGATGTTACCGGCTTGGTGACAAGCTAAGTCGGAGGATGGTGTCATTTTCGCTTGCGAAAATTTCTTGTTCTACAACAAAATGTCTTTCGTGGTGTTTCATGTTTCTGATTGCAGTTGAACTTGACAAGCATGATGACAGAGAGCGCTACCTTTGGGCGGAGTATTGACGTTCGGCGATGCCTAGTTTATTTTTGCGGTAAAAAAAACTGTACATTTTTTTTTGTGACACACTGTATGTGGAGTTGTCATAATCGTCTATTGAGGCGTCAGTGGCGATTTCGAAGCCAGACTTGGATAGCTCTTCCAGTTTAATTTGAATGCTGCAGCAACTTAATTAACTACTCACGTTTGTTCGGTCTTTGGGAAACGGAAGAAGAATATTCCACCAGATCGGGCAAAAACTTGTCTTTGCGGTTGTAGGCAGCACAGGGCATGCCTGCGATCTCCAAGTATGCGCTGGTGTTTGCCCAAAGGCGGCCGGTTGATCAACAAACGATGCGCCATAGTAGATATGCCCGAGTATACAAACAAAATTCGAATAGAAATGTATAACGAGCTTACAATTTTTAATATTTTTAATTAAATCTAAAAGCATATATGAATAATTTTAATTAGAAACTTCATTGAAGTCGAAAATAGGGGGTTATCGCTGACGACAGTGGTAGAAAAGAAAAACGTCAACAAAGTTTCAGGCGGCCCACAGTCCTTAGTACTCAAAATAAATTAATTAATTGAAGCTATGCATGCTTTAAAGTTGTTCAGCAGTAATTGGAGCAACCAAAAAACTCGTGTTTGTAATTTTATTTTTATTCGTTTATAGATTTCGAGAAGAAAACACTCATATCCTTTGCATGCTTAGGGAGCAATGTGAAGGGATTGCTCAGTTTTCATGCAGAGCCGTGTCCTTCTTTTGTTTATCTGATCGACCAATATTCAGCGTGGACCTCGTTCCCGGGAAGGTGCAGTCTTGGGTGGGGGTTGGGTGGTCCATCCGGTTATGTCTGCTGTGCATGCTATACACCTTTCCAAGAAACACTCGACCTCAGGGGCAGCAAACCGTTTTCGAGCCCAGTCACTGGGTTTGAGGCTAGACTCTCACCGGCGTCCCTACTAACCCTAACCGAGTGAACTGTGATTTCGATAGGCGTTGCCTGCGTAGGCGCAGTTTCAAACACTGCTGGCGGCTAAATTCTGGTCTTTTCCCGCTGTATTTTCTGTTTTATGGTGCATGTATTTTCCCGAGGTCACTGAAAAAGCATTGTATCACATAAAAAGAAAGAAAGCAATAAAAGCCTATTAACTATTAACTGGAACGTATACTTCCAGTTTTTTTGTGTGTGTTTTTTTGTTACGATAAGTTTTGATGGCGCCGCGCGATTCGCCGCATGTCAACCGACAAAGCTGTCAGAAGAGAGCCGAAAGGCATGCATTTTTCCCGCTCACAAATACCGTGTTTACCGATGGACAGGACACGGACATACAATTTAAAAAGTGTTCACATTCGAACAATATATTCTACGTACCAGACGATGCAGCGTTATCCAAAACGAATTAGTTTGAGAAAGATCTCGAATAACACAGTCACAGTCGACGACAGTCACATCTTGACGAACGGTAGGAATCCAAGCTGACTTCGTTTCCTTTTTTCCTTTTTTTCTTCCTTCCTTTTTTCACAACAGCACCAAGGCAAAGGAATCA